AACATGTCTGATGATTGTTTTTCATGTGCACCAGGCAACTGTATCACTCTGCCATTCATTCAGTAACAGATTCACCTTGCTTAATACTCAGTTCCCACTCATTTTGTAGTTCCTGTCATTCCCTCCCTATATCCTTTGGAGTTCATTTTCCCCGTGTCCTATTAAGCTTTATCACAAGAGCTTTAGTTCTTCACCAAAGGACTTACTCAGGGCTGCAGGAGATTAGAAGATATATGTATCTTTCAGAAAGTCTTCAAGTTTCTTGTCATTTCTACAGCATTGCCTGTTTCCCAGAGGTTAAAATAATACCTCATTATCTTGCTTAGAAATTGCTGGAATGTTTGACTTTATCTAAGGCATTACCTGTCATTCCAGGTGTTAGGCTTCTCACGTGATGTTCTAAGAAATGATTTTTTTTTTTTAATTGATTTTTTTTTCTCTTGGAGTAGGAATGTGGCTCAGTTAATTTCAGAAAGGAAATGTTATGGGTTTTTTCTGCATAAAATTTACTAAGATATGCTGGAAGTCTAACAGTGTGGGTTTTTCCTTTTCTGTACTTAGCATCCTCTTGAGAAGACACAAAGTTACTAGATGAAGTCTTTGTCCTAGTCTTTTGACAGCAGCAGCTTTTCTTCCTTTAGTAACTGGTCATTCCTATTAGAATTGTGGGTGGGTTGTTTATTTTCCCTTTTATAGCATTCTATGCAAAACAGGGTATTTTTGACAAAAGTAAGTTTTGCTAGTTGTCCTATAGAAGTTCAACTCCACTTTTGTCACCTGGTGGAATGGGCATGTACAACAGAAACATTGTTAAATTAAGATAGTATTTTCTTCATGTGGATTGACTTTGTCCCTTTTGAACTACCTGTTTATGATCAATTTGTTTCTGCAGTTTGTATGCAGCTTTGTTTGTGGTCATATCTCATGGCGTAAATGGTTTTTTTATTATTTTTATTCAGCAATAGTAATTAATCTGTGTTTCCAATGCCTTCTGTAGTTGGAAAACAAGATGACGTTGTCATGTGACTAATCTTGAAAGACCAGAGTTCTCTTTTATTAACTCGTTGATTATCAAGCAGGTTCTAAGGCCATCTTGTAGAGAATGACAGAGGAAACTAGTATTAGTAAAGAACAGCTTTGCCAGTGACAAGACATCTAGAGTCCCAGGGACAGAGGTGTGAGTAACTGGCCTGTATTTTCCTGGGTCATCCTTCTTGCCTTTTTTGAAGACTGGAGTAATACTGGCCTTCTTCCAGTTGTCAGGCACCTCCCCTGTTCTCCATGACCTTTCAGAGATTATGGAGAGTGGCCCAGCAATAACATCTGCCACTTCTCCCGTCACTTGCAGGTGCATCCTATCAGGGCCTATGGACTTAAAGATACCAGTTTGGCCAAGTGGTTTCTAACCTATTCCTCCTCTACTGATGGAAAGTCTTCCTCTCTCCAGACCTTTCCCCTTAATTGCTACTGGAATTTTTTTAATTAATTTTTAGATTTTATGTTTAAGCTATAATACAGCTTGTTCACAGTTTCACAGTGAATCCTAAATGCTTTCATTCTGAAAATCTTTTTAACTGGGAGATTTAAAAAGAGAAGGTTGTTAATTGGCTTACTTTGGTACATAGTAGAATGCCACATAACAGTTATATTGGTTTTTAACTTTAATGAGAAAGCTTTTGTATTAATTGTATATACACATTTCCTATACCTATGTGATTTAAAAATGCATAATATAAGGTAAAAACCATTTTAGCTAATCTAAAGAAAATACTGGATGTCTTTTGATGATCACCTTTAGAACTCCTACAAATAAATGGTAATGTTATGGAATATGAAATGTGACTGTCTTTAACAGCATCTTTGTCATGGCTACAAAAATACCTATTTTTCTTTGCAGTAACAGTAATGTTAAAAAATAGTATTGACCTTATATGATCTGGAACATATTTTTTAACTAATGTTTTTGTTTAAGGTGCCTATTATAGTATGCAGTTCTGGCATCTAGCAAAGGCTTTCTGTGTAACAATTACAGTGCATCTAGTTGTAATTGGAATGAATGAGAAACATTTCCACTCCTTCACACATATACCTAATTTTTAGACTTGCAATTTTAGCTACAGTTATTCATCACCACTTTGTGACAGGATGAATGTGAAGAGATGCTTCATTATGCTATAGTGTCTCTGAAGACTGAACAGTGTGTCTCAAAGTGGTCAGAATATTTAGCAGTGTGTAAACTTAGTGTTTTGTGATGCGTTAGTAACACTGGATTTTATGGTTATATGTTGGTTGCTTTTGTGACTGCCGTTGAGATTGAGGACAGTCTGTTAATTTTGCTTCAGAAGAAACAGTAAACAAGCATAACTCCTTTAAACTAACTTCTGTTCTTTATCATGTTATTTCATGATAAAAATATTTACCTACAGTTTTTTCTTCACCTTCATTTTGTGACCCTTGAGGATGGTTTCTGTCTACTGTTTAGAGGAGCACTGGGTGGAGGATGTGCCAGGATGTGAGGAGGATTTTACTACTGGAGACTAAGCAGCCTTGAAATGCTGTGAAAATTTGGTGCTAATCATTGTCTTGGCATAAATGTTTTTAGCTAATATATGTAAGAACTCTTGCCCTTGCTGATCAAAGCTACATAACTCTATTGGCAGGACTTTACCAGTGTGATTGCGAAGCGGAATGTAGACACTGAAAGTTGTTCATTTCATATTAGCAAAAGAGACATGAGTAAAAATAATTCTCTCTTTTTAAATTGTGCATTGTTTTCCCTGGAATATAAAGCAGCCTTACTAAGCTATCACTTACCATTTAGTTAACTCATGTCAATATAGTATAATTAAAAATTCTCTAGAAAGAGAGATAAAAAAATAAGGAATGTAATCGAAGTGAGGGTGGTAGTATTGGTTGTGCCCCATATCCTTCCATGATGAGTCTGTGACTGGAGTTCAGGTGCATTCTGACACCCAAGCCAGTACCTCTCTTTCCAGTATGTCATGAGGATAAATGTTTTATCATTTTTATAAATTAATGGAGTATCTTAGTTCATAAGGACAAGATACCTGTTACTTCTCCCCATGCAGAATTACTGTTGTTCTTCTGAGTATCAGACTGCCATAGGAAATGTATGAGTCACAATTTTGTGTTCATTGAAAGCATGAGAATGGAGATGTGAAGAGAGAATATTCTATAATATTCCATAATATAAGTAGATCTTGAATTAGAATGTGAATGGTGTTAGAAAAACTTCTGTCAACAGAGAAGTTTAAAGTGCAACCTTTGCATTTTCATTTTTTACATTTGGAAGATTATTAGTTTGATCCAGTATAGCTTTGTCTTGTGTGGGAATTATACCAAATTGTGTAAGAATAAAATCAATAGAAGCTGCTAGAAGTATTTTTTACTATGGCAATTACTCTTGAAAACTCAAACATTGTAGAAAAATTTCCGCTATATTAAAAGGTATTCCTGCAACTCCTAGAATGAGGGTTTAAGAAAAATCACAATACATAGTATTTTGATGGGGGGAATATAGCATCCTCACGTGTTGTAATAGGTTGGGGTTCCCAAAATTGCTTTCTGATAGATTCAAATAAATGTAACATTTAAACTATACTCTGAGTATAGAGTTAGTACCTTGAAGTTTCCTCTGCTGCAGAGCTGCTCAGGCTTGCAGTGTTTTTTTGCCCTTCTGCATAAACGAAGACCAAAAGAATTTCCAGTGCCATGTTCATGGAGTATTCTTTGTTTGGTGTTTTGGCTTTCTCCTCAGGCTTTTTAAACTGAAGTGTTTCAATTGTGATACGTAGTTGTATATGACTTTGTGAGAAACACCAAAAAGCCGTTATAACTGCCTCTGTGACACAGTTCTTCTTTATTTCCTTCTTGTTTTGGAGCATGAATGTAGTAGTTGCAGTTGAGCCTACTCAATGGGGAAGAGTGTTAGCCAGGCAGCTCCTCTCACTTCATTTGGACGGGAGCCCTAACAGTAACTGAAAGAGTGGCAACCATCAGACCAGGGCCTTGGATAAATGAGAAACACACATTTGCACTGTCCACTGAAAATAGTGCTTTCTGGCAAACAGTTAAGCTTATCTCTGCATGCTTGTACCAAAAATTGGTACCTATCCACTATGAAACCAGTTGTACAGACAATACTTGTTTTCAGAAGTGAAGGATAAAAGGAGGTTTCCTCTCTCCACGTATCAAAAAAGGAGAGAATTCTTTTGAAATTGTCCTGCTTGTTGTTAATATGAGGAAGTTGCTAATCTCGTTTCCAATTTTTTTATTCAGATGTCAACCTAAATAACATTTTCTGTAAGGAATAACTAAATATGAAAGAATATTTAATTTCCTCTGTTTACTTAAATTCTTTATTCTTAGCCCATTTATGTCTTCCCATCAGTTAGAACCCAAACACATGCCCTTTTGCTTCTGAGTGTGGGTTAATTTTTGTTGCAGTGGTAGTTATCCACAGCACCTGAAAGTGAGACCTTAATGTGTAAGGCATTTTACAGATTCATAGTAGATAGTTCCTTACTCAATGAGTTTAAGATCTAATTAGATGAGGAAATTAAAAGTTGTAAGGAAAATGGATGCAGGTACATACCAACATAGAGCTATACCCATAGGTTGTGTTGTGAATGCATGAAGGCAGATCTCAGGCTTCAGGAGTTTACAGTCTCATTAAGGAAAATGGCAAATGTTTTTAGATTTCTGACCTGAGGTGTTAATCAACAAGAAGTCTTTACTGAGAGAGATGCTTTTTTTTTCTGGCAATGCTATTTTTTTGGTACTTGCTGTGAGCGTTTTCTTTAAAATGAAAATACATGGAAAGATTCAGTTATTGAAGAAAGCAGTGGTTTTAATTTTACTGACTTTACAGTAACACTGTTGGTTTAAGTATACTTGTATCTTGGAAGCATATATTTTAATTAGGTTGTTTGTTTTAGATGGGAAAAGCAGGTTTCTGATGGGATATGTATTTTCAGTGTTTTATTTTCTTTTTCTTATTGCCTGACTTCTGACTTCCTCCCAGAATGTAGCCTTTCCAGCATATCAATCTCTATTCTTTGTTTTGCTTTCAGTCTTGCTGTCAGTGAAGGAGCCTTCTGAAGACAATATGGAACAACTTAACCCTGCTCTTTCAGAGGAAACTTCTTCTGAAGGTTCCCCACATGGTCCAAGAGAAATCAGTGAAACCATAGTGACTGAGTTACCTTTACCAGATGAAAAAGTAACTGAAATAGAAAACATACTTGATCTCTGGAGTGGAAGTCTTAAGGTACTTATTTTGTATTGAGTCTTTAAAAATCATACATAGTGGGTTGTAGAATAAATGAGAGTGCAATAAAAGTTGCAGTTTGATTGCACTTGGAAATGGTAGTTTTCTTTTTTATTGTTTTTGTAGTTGCATATTGCATATAAGCACTAGAATATCTTGTTTCAAGAACTTTGGAATGACTTTCTCCATTAGAGGTGTTCACTTACTATTCAATAGTTCATTATGTCTACTAACATTTATAGACATAAGCAGCCTATGTAATGAAGGCATGACTGTAAATATTGATGTCTCCTTAACTGCTAAGTGTTTTAAGATTTAAAGATTAGGGAGGAGGGAATAACTTTACTAACTGCATTACTGTCATCCCTGTAACCTTTCAGACAAATGTTCTGGCTGAACTGAGAAAATGGAAACTTAGTTTGATCGAACATCACAAGCTTCAAATGACACAAGAAAAAGAGAAACATGCTGCACATGTGAGACGATTGAGCAATGAGATGGAAAACCTGAAGGAGTTGCTGCATACTTACGAAGTCTCTATTGGCAGGAAAGATGAGGTAGTAGCTCAGTTTCATAATTCAACAGTTACTCTCTTTAGAAATATCCACACTGAATTTTTTAGTCCATCTTTTTGAACAAAATCTTCTTGCAGCAAGTAAGACAGAGTAAATATATAGACACTGTATAGTAGAAAAAGAATCGTTGCAAATAATGTCTAACAATGGAAAGTTAACATGCTGTATGTACGTATTTTGTATTGTTTGCTTCTTAAATCTTGGATCTATTGTTATTCTTTATTTGTTTTGTATATTGTATATTTGTATATTTATACAAATTCTTTGGATTGTACACCTGGGGTGTCTTGTGTTACACTTTTCTGCAGTCAATGGTATCAGGAACTTCAACATTAATTAGAATTGTGGAAATGGGTGTAAAATTCTGGCTGCTCTGCAGTCACATAATATATTCCTATCCTGAATTTTTAACCTTGTACTTGAGGACACTGAATGGGGTTTGCATTTTTAATTCCTATTTACCCTTTTTTTAAAAAAACAAAACAAAACAACAACATCCATTGAAGGAGTTAAAATATGGATATAATGTTCTGTGCCCGTTTGTAAGAGTCTGATCTTACAGATCAAGCATATCAAAATGTTGAAACAGGATTAGTGTAATATTTAGCTAGTACGTGTGTGCAGAGCTATAGTTATTTCAGTGTATACCATTCAAATATATCTAATTTTGTTGGATTTCATCAAATGGCACTCATGTTTAATGCACTATAATTCTAAATGGTACTTTGAAAGCAAGTGGGGTTTTTTTCTGCTACCAAAGAAATTCTTTCTTTAGCCAATTCTATAGTTCTGTTTCTAAAAAAAAAAAAATCGTTTTCAATAGAAAATTATTATTGCCACCATCTTAACAGTAGGTGGCAGTGCTGCCATGGATCACACTGTATTTATAAAAGCTTCTGTATTCTGTCATGGACATAACCCAGAATCCATCAGCCTCATACACATTAGACTTCTGGTTTCTCACGGTAAATCTCAAAAATGCTTTTAAGTGGGAAAAATATATTAATTAATAAATACAGATTTAGGCTAAGACTTCTAGTGTGTATCAACAGTTACGTATCATCAAAAGCTGCTATTTTATGTCAGCGTATGTTGCTTTTTAAACAAAAGTAACTGATTTATTGATTTCCTTTTGTTTTTTATTGTTGATCATTTTTGCAAATTCTTCTAATTTTAGATAAATTCATTAACTTAGTCTCAGCTATATAAGTATTTTGAAACTGCAAAAAGTTAAACTAGTCATATTTATGCAGAAAAAAGTAGTTTATACTAGACTTATCTCAATAAAGTATTATGAAAAATTCATTCTTTAATATCTACAGATGGATTACTTTAAATGTATCAAACTAAACTTTATTTGTTTCTTAATTTTGTTTTTTGAATGCTTTAGAGAAACCAAGCTTTCGTCTAGTAGTATTTGATTACATGTTGTAAAGATTGACCGAAGGACTTTGTATTAAATTCTGTACTGAAACAAAATAGGTTTGTGCTACTTGCTAGGTAACTGTTGATTTAAGGGTGAATTTTAAGTGTAATTAATTTCATTGATGTATGTTCAATAATAATTGTATGTTACATAGGCAATGTAACATATGCCATTTAACTTATTAATACACATTAGCATATAACATCATAGAATGTTGTCCCTCACAATCTTTGTGACATAGTTAAAATAGCTTCACTTTACTCCCAGGAGTCTGAAGATTGGTCGTTATTGCCCTTAGGAGTTGCTTAGGTGTTTCTGATGGCAGAATCTAGCTTAAGAGGTTAGGCAAAGAATAGGGAGAAATACTCAGTGATGTGGTGTACCCAATTTGTATCATGCCTGGCCTAATTTTTGATTAGCGAACCTCAGCTGTTGCAGTATACTAATTAAAACACATGTAGAGATTGTTGTGAAAAGTCCCTACTTGCCTCTCTGTCCAGTTAGGTCATTGTGCCTCTCAAATATTTTGATTGCTACAGACTTGTATGATACCTTCCACAAGGACTTTTAAAAAGAATAACAGTTCTTAATCGGATTTTTCTCATTCGTAGCAACCCCTTAGCTTGTCTATTCTGTTAAGACAATTAATTTATCTACAGAAAGCATATATATCTCTTTACAGTTTCGTTAGTTCAGTTTAGCCCTTTATTAATTTTTAATAAAAATGTGTTTTATTTATCATGATGGTCTTTGAATCACTTTGAAGTGATTTTTCTGACCTTATGCTAGAGTAACATTTCATTATTAGTAGGAATCACAGAAACCTGCAGATGTAGGATGAGACAACAATTCAGTTAAGCTTTTATTAACTATACAGTGACAGTTAAGTGCCCCAGTCTGAGTTTTGAAGCCACAGGAATTTCACTTCTGATTTGAACTCTGATTATTGTTTCCTGCTTGATTAGAGTAAGGGGAAGATTTTGTAGAAAGTATCTGTTACAACCAAATGCTTTAAGTGAAGAATAACTGATGTGTAAAATATTTTTGCAGGTGATTGTTAACTTAACCCAAGCACTAGAGAGACAGAAGGAGAGAATAGAGTTGATGAGAAAGTTTACACTGTGGCGGATTCAGCATGTTAATGCCAAACAAGAGGTATGTGCTCAAAATAAAAAAGCGATCAAAATAACACCTTTCAACTCAAAAGTGTCAGAGTTGCTGCAGTTCCTGTTGCAGTTTGAAGAAATTAGTGTTGCTATTTTGATGTGTTTGGCCGTGTCAGATAACAGTTTGAAAACATCAACTCTAAAAGAGTGCTACTGTTAAAGTAGTCTGTGGGATGGGGAAACAAACCTATACTTGTTTTATATTGTACCAATTACTGTGATCATCTCACAGCACATCACCACAGTTACGAATATCTGAAATCTAAATTTATTTAAAAGATTGGTGCTTTGTGCTAATCATTTGCAGTCTTTGTGATTGCAGGTTTTGTATGGTTTCTGCAGTGAATGAAGACATGCCTCATACCCACTTCACTACATGTTTTCACATGTGCATGGTTTCACCCTATACTTGAGGTTGTTGATTAAGATTCATTAAGCTAAGAGTAAAAGTGCTGTTTTGTGTAACCTAGGAGTTTGCAAATATGGTTTCTCCTTCTGGGGACAGTAATGTTCCATGTCATGTGTGCAGGAAAAAACATTGATCTGCTGATGCTATGTTTGTGTTGCTATGTTATGTTATGTTGCTATGTTATGCTGTGCTTCACTGCAGCACTCGTGACTCTTTATAGGCATTCCTATTTTGGTCTGTGTAGTAAGTTACAAAACAATAATCCTCACTCTTTTGAGTACTGAAAATTTTAGGAAACCTGAACTTGCATATGATGAGGGGTTTTTTTGTTTCCTTAGGAATATCAAAATAGAATAGCAGACAGACAATTCCAGACAGCTTTGATGAAGAAAGTGTGGGCAGCATGGCGCTCTCTTAGTGGAGAAAAATGGAAAGAAAAGGTAGCAAAAGCCTGTCAGTTAAGGGCTGAAGATGTCTGTGTTCAGCTTACCAATGACTATGAAGCCAAAATTGCAGAGGTAAAATGAGGTGTTTGTTTGTTTTTTTTCTTTTCATTCTTTCTCTCCTTCACTCCCTCATCCCTCCAAAGTATCTCTTTCTCAGCAAACTTGAAAAACATCAGGAGTTCCCAACAGAACAGAGCTCCCAAGGAAGCAAGAAGATCTGGGAAGGTCTAAGGTCTCTACTATGGTTTCTACATACAACTTTTGTTTTCCTGCATTAAAATGTTTCTTATCTCAACACATGGGTGAATTAAACTGGACACTTGCTGAAATTAGAAAAACTTCTATTTGCCCACCAATAGGGAAGATGCTTTTTTAAGAGCATGCTGTTAATATTGGCTATGCATTTTGAGGTCTTACTAAAGAAGACAATTGAAATAGAAGACTATTAGTATTAGGAATTATCATTTTGAGTACAATACTTTTTTTTCCCATAATAGCTGCTCTGTTAAATGTTGAATTTAAGATTGGTTTTGCCTTCAGCTTGCCAATTAAACCTATGAGTTTTCAGAGCTCAAGGTGAAGCTACATTATTAAAGTATGCATTGGTGTGCAAGTTGTTTACCTGGACTTTAGTAAAGCCTTTAATACTGTTTCCCAAAGTATTGTCCTGGAGAATGGCTGCTCATGGCTTGGATGAGTACACTCTTTATTGGCTAAAAAACTGGCTGGATGGCCAGGGCCAAAGAATTGTGGTAAACAGAGTTAAATCCAGTTGGTGGCCAGGCCTAAGTGATGTTCCCCAGGGCTCAGTGTTGGGGCCAGTTCTCATGAATGTCTTTATCAATGATCTGGACAAGAGGATCAAGTGCACCCTCAGTGAAGTTTGCAGATGGCACCAAGTTAGAAGGGAGTGTTGCTCTGCTTGAGGGTAGGAAGGCTCTGCATAGGGGCTTGGACAGGCTGGATTGATGGGTTGAGTCCAGTTGTATGTGGTGTAACAAGGCCAAGTGCTGGATGCGACATCTGGGCCACAACAACCCCAGGCAATACTACAGGCTTTAAAAAAAGCAGGAAAGCTGCCCAGCAGAGAAGGACCTGGGGGTGTTGATCAAGAGCTGGCTCAATATGAGCCAGCAGTGTACCCATGGGGCCAGAAAGGCCAACAGCACCCTGGCTTGTGTCAGAAATAGTGTGGCCAGCCGGAATAGAGAAGTCATTGTACCCCTATACTCAACACTGATGAGGCCGCATCTTGAGTACTGTGTTCATTTCTGGGCCCCTCACTACAAGAAGGACATTGATTTTCTGGAGTGTGTCCAGAGAAGGGCAGTGAAGTGGGTGAAAGGTCTGGAGAACAACTCTTAAGAGGAGTGGCTGAGGGAACTGGGGTTGTTTAGCCTGGAGAAAAGGGGCTGGGGAAAACATTTTCATTCTCTACAACTATCTGAAAAGAGGTTTTAGGGAGGTGGGAGTGGGTTTCTTCTCCCAAGTAATGAGTGATAGGACAAGAGGAAATGGTCTCAAGTTGTGCCAGGGGAGGCTTATATTGGATATTAGAAGAAGCTTCTTAAATGAAAGGGTTATCAAACACTGGAACAGGCTGTCCAGGGAGGTGTTTGAATTGCCATCCTTGGAGGCAAATGCTTAACCTTATGCTTAAGTCATTTTCTGGGAACACTTTTTTTTCTATTGAGCTAATCCATGTCCCTCTGGAAATTGGCTTGTACCAAATGCCAAACTTTTGAAAGATAAAACCTTGCAAGATTAATTTCTGCTTTGTTGGTTGGGTAGGGTCTGACAGTCATCCTCTTGGTATCCTCTAGTACAAATCATGTGCTGCATGCAAAGAAATTATCTGATGAACTATAGATTTTGAAGTGAGAATGCATATGCTTGTAAATGTAGTGACTTTTAAAGCTGATTGAGGAATATGTTCATAGTTTTCATTCAGAAGCACAGGACAGCTTTGTTTATTCTCTTTGTAGCTAACTGCTGCTTTGGAAGAGACGAAGGCTGAGATGCTGCAACTGCACAGTGAAAGAGAACAGTATGAAGACACCATGAAGAAAGCCTTTATGCGAGGTGTATGTGCTTTGAACCTGGAAGCTATGACCATGTTTCAGAGCAAGGACAGTAGAACAGATACTGGTCAGTACAAAAAGCAGCTCTAATCTAGTGGGGGGGGGGCTTTTTCTTGAGTTTGTTTGTTTGGGTTTGTTTGTTTTAAGGGATTCTTCCTTTTTTTTATTTAATGTGAGCACTTGTGGCAATACAGAGTTTATCAGACTCCTAATGCTTCAAAAAGTTCTGTTTGATCTATTGAGAAATATTCTGATGCTGAGCTTTGCACTGCTGTAGTTGAAAAGGTGGAATGTGTTCTCTTCATCCTGCCCTGCTGTGAGGGTGACAATCTGCAACTGAAGACAGGAATCAGGGATGACAAACTTCTTAAAATACCATGGAAGATTACCCATTACTTCTGTCAGCACCCAGGTTATGAGGCAGTGAAGGGGAAATCCTGGAAAACCCTCCTCTTTTCTCTGGAATCTCAGTGTACAATGGATCGGCTTTTCCCAGACAGCTCTCCTCTCTTTCTTAATCTTGTCTTTCAGTGCTAAAAGGGCAAGTAAATCTCCCAGATTCTGTTTTTAGTTGCAGTTCTGTGCCAGAACAGAAAACACCAGTGTAATTATATCAGCAGCGCACTTGTAAAGCTCAGGCAACTACACAGGAAAGAGCTGCAACGCCTTAGTGATTCAATGAAGTCTCCCCCTCCTAGTGAGGCCATCTGTAGCAGTAGAAGGAGAATCATGCTGATGCAGCAGCCTACATTAAAGAGAAAATAGGTCTGCCAGCAGGTATGTCACAGTTGTACAAGTGCTTTAACAACCAACTGTACTGGCAGCAGCTGTTAAAGGTGTTAGACAAGTAACTTCAGTTGCTAAACATAACAGTCTTACACCAGAAATTTCTGAACTATGGCCCCAAAAAATGTAGGTATGAAGAGGAAATTAAAAAAACCTGAAAAGGGTGTAAGAGGATACTTATCTGAGAAGCTGTCTCAGTCTGTTAAACAAATGTTTATTTGTGCAGTTTTGTATTTGGGCAGTTGCTTAGGAAACTGGAGTGTGACATTGGCTAAATGCAGTAGTTGTGCGCTAGTAAAGACAGTATTTGGGGAAGTTCAAGAATGAATTAGATACTGAGATCAGGAATAAAGTTACAGGGCATTCCCCAAGTACCTAATTTTTCACTGTGTTATAAATTAAGAGCTACTATCTCCTGAGTCTTTATATTTGTGGGTTTTTTTCCAAAAATATGGAACAGTCACTGCGTCTCCCACATGATGGGTAACTGAGGAGTGTGAAACAGGAAAGCATTGTTTATGTAAACCTGTAAAAAAGAGGGTAAGTAGGAAGGAAATTAAGAAACCTGGGCTCTAGAACTGCCATGACCATCCTCTGGGATGCATGGAGTAAACATTTTGTTTGAGTTTTACAGCATCTAGAGGTTTTTCTGTGCTGGACAAAGCTGGAGTGCCTGTACCCAGCTTTCTGGATGTCCAGCATCATGCTGCTTGATTCCCTGAGGTCACCGTAGTCCTCATCAGGCTTCATAAAATCTCACAGTCGCTGTTGTCCTTGGTCCCCTGCCTGCCATCTTCTTCTGCTCATTCCACCTTCTCCCCTTCCCCAGGCACACTATCTCTTTCTAGCTACAGTTAGACAGTGCTTTTAATTAAGTTAGTTACATAATTATTTAACATGATTGTACAACCGTTTACTTGCATTCTTCCTCCAATATATCAGAACAGTGATCAAGACCTCTGGGGACTTCAAACATCAGATAAGATTATTACTGTGATTTGTTCTAGTCTTGTAATCTGTGGACATTAAAACTTCCATGTGCCAGAGTCAGTCAGGGATAATATACTTAGAGGAACACAGCAATGCCACCTACTATCATTAGAAATAGCAGCAGAATTTATTACCTTTACAGATTCATTATTATTATTTTAATTATCATTATAATGTACATTTAATATACATACAATATACAAATAACATGCATATAATATACATTATAATTTATGCTATTAATATTGTACTAGTATCACAACCTTAATGGTCCATAATATTCAAAGTCAATGTTGATGATCTAAAATCTATCTGGCTGATTTTCTGACAGATTTTTTTTGTTATTATCTTATTTTTAACCTCTCTATCTTTAAAGGAATACTGCAGGCAAAGAATTCATTACTTCTTACTTTAAGAACCTGATACAGCTTTTTTAAGTAACCCAGGCCAGGTCTGATTAGTCTGTAACCATGCATTGGTCCTGTCTATGCTTAAGCTTTGTGTGTGTACTTACATATATATGTACAAAGTGCATATTCTGGCATACCTACACTCTTGAATTCTTTTAATATTGCACTGATTTGAGTTATCTTCCTTTATATTCTTCGTGCTCATGTCACAAAAAAAAAAGAACAACTACCACATGGTGTCACTCTAGTCCCTGGAATGAGCAACGTTCCTTTGTCCTGGAGCTGCTGCTAGCATCATCTGCTTCAGAAGTAGTAGAGTGAATAATAATATATCTCTGCTTCCTGTAAGGAAGTCTGTAAGGAAGTACAAAAAGTAAAAGGCTGAAACTGCTTGGAAAAGATACTGAGCTTAGGTCTGCAGGTCTGACCTCCCTAGGATGTCTGCATTGCATGACAAAAGAATCCTGGACACATTTTACACAAGCTCAGACTTACCCAGCTAGTGGGGGGGATGAGGGCCGTAGGGCACCCATGGAACATCCCAGCCCTACAGCCAGGATGTCACCACTGTCCAGCCATTATATGTGGAGTTTAGATGCTGCTGAGCATGATCTATGGCTGCTGGAGATTGCAGCATGTTCTCAGGTAAAATAATGTTTTATTTTGCTGACAGCCCCCTTAAGGATGTTATGCCCTTGCAGAAGTCCAGAATACCCTGTGCATGTTTTGCTGCTCTCTGTCTGAACTGAATTTTGACCTTTAGCATAAGAGCACCTCTTGCATATTTGATTTAGTACTGGCAAGCAGTAGGGAGACTGTCAATTCTTTGCATGACAAGTATGTGCCACAGGGATGTTGAGGCATAACATAGAAGCAAGGCCTTTGGAGAAGAATATTTCCAAGCATCTGAAAAGAAGGAATGTTTATATATATTCACATAAACATATGCACAGAGACCTATAAAGAACACCCTGATCCTCTGAATTATATTTTACAGAAATCCCAAAGGAACAGTAAATTTTTTTGTGTCAACTTTTTTCCCCTTAGGGTTTTTTAGAGTATGTGCTGATTCCATTACTTTATGTTTCTAATAATAGATGTAGGAAGTAGGAGAAATGATAATGGTACCATTGCTTCAGGAAGGCTGCCTGCCTCACAATATAATCTCCCTTCAACACCACCAGCGACAGCTTTTCAGCTGGAAGACATGGTAAGCATGTAGCTGGAACAGAACTGTATTTGCTAGTGACAAAAAAAAACTTTCTTGGTTGGAACTTTTTTGAAGATAAATGCCATAGCTCGTGAATTTAAGGAATTTAAAGACAATATAAGTGTAAAAAGAAACCTATGGTTATGTCCAGACTGCATTGTGTAAATCAAGTGACTGGGGTGCAGCTGCTATGACTTGCTATACTTTCAATTAAGCTCTGTGTTTTCTATTGATGAGAATGCATTGAACTGATGAAGCCTCTAATAAGCAGAACTTGCTCTTCAAGGCTCTTTCTGGAAAAAAACTGTTATGAGTTTTTTGCAAAAAGCATCAACAATATAATCTGGAAAGAAGAAAAGCTGGCTGAACTTGAATCTTCTTTTTAAAAAGTGAAATATATATAGACACTGTGGGAACTCAGCTTGTTGTCATGTCAGCTTAGCCAGATCCAGTAGCTTAGATGTTCTGGACCTGCCCTGGAGTCCTGCTGACTGAAGACACTGTCCCTGTAAAACCATTTCACGGTAGACTACAGGTTAGATGAGAGAACATGCGCTTGCCTCTCTCTTCCTCATTTTTCATTCTAATAGCATCATATGTTATTCATACTGTTTCTACTATTTTTAGATAAGTATTCTTCAATTAGCCTAAAAAGAGTAAAACTAGAGCTAAAATATTTGCAAAGAAGTTGAATTTCGAAGGGTAATTTTGAGTAGTCAAAAAACTGGCTACCTTTATTTTCTAGAAAGTTATACTCATTCTTTGTAAACTCTGGTTTCATTCACAGTTTTCTACCCACTTGGGTCATGCAAGCACTTCTCAGACCAGGTTAGATTCTGACTCTTCAGTAATCGTCACTAGCACAGCTGCGGGATCTGGTGTGACATCAACTCAAAAACTGGTAACATGCTAAAATCGACTGTTTATTTTTTAAGGTGTAATTATAACAAATATTAGTTTAGCTGTTGTTATCTCTGCATTTTTTTCAGACCAGATTAAGTATGTAGTTGAGGAAACTGCCATGGAGCTTACATAGCTATGTGAAAGCACTAGCTTGCAAATGCTTATTAATGCTACAGAAACCTATCTATGTTAGGAGCAATTTTAAATGGTTTCTGGAAGGGTGATGGAGGAATTTGGCAAAATGAAGAATAAAAGAGTGCATGTACACTTACATATAGCTCAACAGAAACAGTTGGTGTTTCACATTGGGCTGTTTTGTTCTGGAAAGATTATGCATTCCTTTAGCATCCTGTCATTTGAAATGTCTCCTTCATTCCCTCTTCTCTGTCTGTTGCTAACTGTCTTTTTTACTTTTCTCCACTGTATTCCATGTTGCTCTCCTATCTTTTTCCCATCTGATACAGTTTGCTACCAGCTGTTACAGAAAGATGCAGCATTTTACTTCATGGAAGCTTTTTAGCATCTGCTATGTCACTGCTGGAAAGGCTTTCCAGCATGATAGAAATGCCTGCAGCTGTCACTCCAGTATGCAGCCATTGAGCCAAATTATCCATGCTGCTTCATTTTTGCCAATTTAGACTTATTCCTCTCAGTACAGAAATCACTTGCTTGAAATGCTAAGATTAAAATTAATAAACCAGGTTGGAACTAGGCAGAGCAAATTCAGTACTGTATGACATAACTGGATTACCTGCAACATCCCATGTTCTGTTTAGGCACATGCCTGATAAAACTAAGCATACAATCTAGAGCATATAAATATTATGTTTAGAAATTTTTACCAAATAACACTTTATTTGTAGCCCATGGCAAAAGTAATAACATCTGCTCAACAGAAAGCAGGAAGAACAATCACTGCTCGAATCACAGGCCGAACTGATGTTGGACAAAAGGCCAGAATGTGTGGTAGTGTAGCAGTGATGGGAGTTGCACCACCCATGAGTTCAGTCATTGTTGAAAAACATCATCCAGTCACTCAGGTAAGTAAGAATTATGTTTGTAACAGTCCATCTGTTAGTAGCTTAAAGAGAAATGAACACCATGATGAGGTATTAGACAAGGCTCAGACTTGTTTCCTGTTTGAAATAACAAGCAGTACTGTCCTTGGGCTGCGAGGAGGCACTGCTGAGGAGAGGAAGTATATATTGCCACTTTAATCTATTTTTCTTTTTTCTGTAGCAATTATTTCATGGGTGTAGTAATCTTGGCTGTCTCTTTCTTGGCCAGCCCTTCACTGAGTCTTCCTCTTCGTAGGAGTGGTCAGTTGGCATAGCAATATCAGGTGTCATCACCAAGCACAATTTAAAAGTCAGGCCTCATGATGGGTAGCAGGAAGAGTGACTGAACCAAGGGTGATAGAGATATACATTATACTGACAGGCTGAGTGTAGCAAATCATTGGGGGAAAAAGTAAAACCAGGGAAAAAATAAAATAATTCATCAAGCCTGCTGCTTGTATTTTGAGTCTTCCCCTTCCCCTCAAGAAAATAAGGAAATAAGTGCTTTAATAATATATGAAATCAACATATAAGAAGACCATAAACAGTGGCCTAAGTGGCTTGGTAACTACTACCCTCTAGGCCAATCTGAGGAAAAAAAGTATTTTCATTGGAGGTGTATGAAACAGTTGAAGACTTTTCTTATGTTTTGACCTGTGAAGTAGGATCTGAGTTTTCTTTGTGCTATCTGGAAGTCCAGTTTCTCTTCAGCAGTACTGCCAGAATAAGCAGAGCTTTGTTTGCAGTGGAGATACCATTAACTGTGTGAGGAATGTTCTGCTTTCATTCATTTCCTGCAGTGAATCAGAGCCCTGTGGCAGGCTGTATGTAGCTTGTGAGAATTCTGGCTCATACGCAGAAATTCATATTTTAATTAACCCCAGGGGGTTAAGGTTTTGATGTGAGGTTTCTTCCATTAAGAACAACTTCTGGATTCAGATTGCATGACTGTTGTGACAATGAACTACCTGAACTACTGTACTAAAAACTGCCTTCTCAAAATGTAGTAAATGTGACAGTAGAAGAGGTACATCTCACATATTCTTTCTGCAAACAAACATGTAAGTGGAAGTCAATCACACTGAAGTACTTCTCTTGAATTAATCTGACAAGTTTACCTTCATTAAAAGTAGCATGACTACTGTTTATTGCAGCAAGGTGGCTAGTTTTTTGGGGGAGAAAATTCATTAGTGTTAAACAAAAGCAAACCTTTTCCTTTCAGAGATCAGAGACCTTTAGGGACTTCCTCATAGCAAATACTGAACTTCAAAAGGAATGTTGGCATGATTAAATTAACACTGCTGAGGAAAATTCTGACTGAGTTGGTAAAGAATCAAAGAAACCAACCTTGAATTAAGATTGAGGTGATGAAAGCTCAGGGTACCTAGTTGATTGGAAGTTTAGTACTTTATATTCTACAAAGTGTGTTATAGATAAGGAAGAAACTTACTCATTCTGCTAAAGTAATTCTGTTTTGGGTGGGTTTTTTTTAGAAGCGTATTTCAGTTTGCTGGGTTGGAAGTCTTTGTTTAAAGTACAGCTTTCTTAGAGCTATTATAATGGATTTTTTTTTTAAGCATTAAGTATTTTGTTGTATCTGATTACTTTTTAGCAAACCATATCCCAGGCCACTGCTGCTAAGTATCCTCGAACTGTACTCCATTCTTCTGGCTCTACCACTTCAAGATCTGCAGGACAAGTTGGGCGAATGCTTCAGGCACAAACTCATAGCTGTGTTCAGTCGATAAAAGTTGTTGACTGAGTGTATGTCCTTCTCACCAGTGGGGTTTTTTATGAAGGTACAGTTTAAACCTTTTCCCAGTCTTTTTCGATGTGATGTAGGAAGGCCTAAAGTATGTATCATGTTTTTACCCTTTTCTAAAACAATTTTTCTGAAGTGAAAGTGCTTTTATAGTAAACATCCGGAGGGGATAAAAATAACTTGAAATGTTGTTCTACCTCCAAAGTATTTGAGAACTTATTTTATTAAGATAAACACTTTGTATTTAAGAAATCTTTTGCACACTTTTAAATAAAGGACTGAATGTGGGTTTTTTTGTCTGAATCTCTTTTAGTTCCAATGTTACAACATCTACTTTTAAGTAAAATTTTATTTTTCATCTTTTTAGCACAAACAGTAAGATTCAGAAGAAAATGATGCTAGCTTTATATAGACAGAGAGGGCAACTCAATCCTTCCATTACATGGTTAAACTATTACTATTTTGTTACAGAGAAGACTACAAAGATAGACCTTTTCCATAATTTTTCAGATACAAAATATATTCAATAATGAGAAAACCTTTAAACATGTTTGGCAAGGCACTACCAAATATTAATTCAATACATGAACAAGAAATATGTAGTTGCTAGATGTGTTAAATGTCATATGCTCTTTTTTGAGTATATATACAACATTATGCAGCTAGCCACATGTGGTTTTAGACATTACTTTTTTGTGTATTTTCACTGCATAAATAAATCATGTGCTGAAGAAGAAAGACCTGTTCTAATTGTAGCACTAATTAAACAAGAGCAAAAGCTCTCGCATGTGAGAAAGAGCTAACCCATATTTCAGGGGTGCAAGCTCTTCTAGCTTGGAGAAAGTCACATGACTTCAGAATTGTTTGGGTTTTTTTCTGGAAGAGAAATTATTTGTATTTGAAAGTCACTTTCTATCTGGCATGTATAATTCCATCATATTTGCCATGTTTTATTGATGAACTCATGAAATTTTACATTTTCTGGAGTCCGTATTAGTGCCACTTGCAGCTCTGATGTTCTCTGTAAAGTAAGAGGAGAAAACACTTTCTTGACCTGCTCTGCTTTTACAAGGTCAGATTAATCTAACTGTAGGATGACCAATCTCATTTTAACCATGTTTGCAGGACACAGGGAGAAAGCGAAGTTTCCACAATTTTATCTTCCTTTAGAAATCTCAAGTCTCACTTAAACACTCTTCCTCAAGCAACCTCACCCCCCCAGGAAGGGCAAATTCCCAGAAAGTGAGAGTCCTCCAGCTCCACCACAGTCACACCTTCCCAGAGCTGCACACACCTCAGAGCTGCACTGCACTGCAGTCTCGCAGAAGACAGTGTAATGGGCCCTGCAGACCACAAAACAACTCACCAGCTAAAGGCTGAAATCCTGCTTCCACCAGGTCTTCATATATATGCTTGACAGGGTTCTGATGAGCCAGCAATATACCATGTAACCAGATGAGCAACATTCTGTTTCCATGTTCCTTGTAACTTTTTTTCCCTATGCAATACACAAAGCATTTATCTGTTCCATATGCTGCAAACAGTGTATTTTTGTGCTTTTGCACCTTTAGAGTTTGAAGAGGTTTTAAAACCTACTCATTTATTCCTTTCTCACCTAGGAGCAAAATGAAGACTGAGACTTACAAAGGTTAAAGAAAACAAACCAAACCAAAGTCTAGCTTTATCCTAAGGCTAGTGTAAAGGATGGGTGGGGAAGTTAATACATTTTAAAATGCTTTCATTTGTCCAGAACATGTGGAAATATGTCCTGGAGGATTACTAAAAAAATACAATGCATGCTACAGAAATATTGTTTTCCCAGCACTTAGAGGTGCCTGACACTAGAAACTCCTGCTTCATGGCAGCTGTGAAGACAGACCATGAACAAGATCTTCCTGTGTCACAAGGCTCCCCAGGTCCTTATTTGGCCAGCAAGATTCTTTGATGCTGCTCACTGCTCCTGTTTTTGATTTCCAAAGATGAAGGTTCTTTCAGGCCAAGAAGGAGAACAGAAGTGGCCTGTACTTCTACAGCACCACTTCCCAGGAACCAGGGACAAGGTCTGTATCCATTCACTGCTCTTTTTCATGACAGGAATAAGAGCAGTATGGCCAGTGTTTGTGATACATAGTTCAAAAAGCAAATCTGCCTTGTTGGTTTTATAGCTTACGTATCATGTCTAGCCATTCAAATATTGTTACCTGTCCATTGTTCTTCAATAGCTTTAATTTGTTCATCTGTGAACTTCCAGAACAGGGCCATTTTTTTCCATTCCTGGGGTTTTAATTGGTTATATGCTAGATTCCAAAGGGAGGAACGGATTTGCTTGGTCTGTGTACTATGATCTTGTTTGAAGGACAAGCCGAAGTCTGACGCACCACCACTACAAGCTAGATGTTTCTGAAAAAGAAAGCAAATGTTAAGTTTAGTAATGCAGCTGGGAACCTTAGCTTAGTGAGCAGTGAACTCCATGTCCTGGACAGTCACATGTAGATATTCACAGGTGATTTGCTCAGAGCAGGTAAAGGGACTGTGTTGGGCTAGTAGAGCTCTTTGGGAGAGCTGATGTTATTACAGTCAACAGAAACAAAGCTTCCTGTGTCTATTGCTGTGTCTTAGTAAGTAGGAATTAGTAAGAACTACTTTCTTTCTCTTGCACATCATAGCATCATAGAATGCCACGTTGGAAGGGACCTCAAGGATCATCTGGTCCAACCTTTCTTGGGCAATACAATACTTTATATGAGGTGGCTCAGCACCCTGTCAAGCTGAGACATAAAACTGTCCAGTGGGGGGGAATCTGCTAGTTCCCTTGGGAGACTAATCCAATGTTTGACTGTCCTCATGGTGAAAAATTTACCTCTTGTTTCCAATCCGAATCTCCCCAGAAGCAACTTGTGCCGATTACCCCTTGTCTTCCGTGAGTCTCCATCTTCTTGGTAGCCACCCTTTGAGTACTGGAACACTGTAATAAGATCTCCCCTAAACCTTCTCTTCTCAAGGCTGAACTAACTTAGTTTTCTCAGTTTTCTCCTATTGCAGGTCCTCCAATCCTCTGATCATTTGGACCCTTTCCAGCCTGTCTGCATCCTCTTTGTAGAGCAGGGACCAAAACTGAACACAATACTCCAGGTATGGTCTGACCAGCACTGAATAGAGTGGGATGATGACTTCTTCATCTCTGCTGGTGATGCCCTTGTTGATGCAGCCCAGCACCCTCTTGGCTTTCTTTGCTGCTGCAGCCCATTGTTCATTCACGTTGAGCTTGTTATCCACCAAAATCTCCAGGTCCCTTTCCACAGGCTGCTCTCCAGCCAGGTGGGTCCCAGTCTGAACTGGGGACCAAAACTGAACACAATACTCCAGGTATGGTCTGACCAGCACTGAATAGAGTGGGATGATGACTTCTTCATCTCTGCTGGTGATGCCCTTGTTGATGCAGCCCAGCACCCTCTTGGCTTTCTTTGCTGCTGCAGCCCATTGTTCATTCACGTTGAGCTTGTTATCCACCAAAATCTCCAGGTCCCTTTCCACAGGCTGCTCTCCAGCCAGGTGGGTCCCAGTCTGAACTGCACTCCTGGGTTACATGTTCCCAGATGCAAGACCTTATATTTCTCCCCGTTGAACTTCATAATCCTACTAGCCCATTCCTCCAGTCTGTCTAGGTCATACGGGAGGGTGGCCCTCCCTTCTGGAGTGTCAGCCTCTCCACTCATCTTGGTTTTGTCAGCTATTGATACACTATAGCAAGTAACAGCAAGTACTAGGCCTGCATTGCTGTGCTGCTTGGCTCTGTCGACCTTACATATCCCATTTTGAACGTGGCTGTGTCTCAGCCACAGTTCTTACTCTTTCCTCTTCCTTCTCCAAATGCTAAGCTCTCCCTGTGAAGAGGCTAGGAACCATGGGCATCATGCTGTCCTGCCTCTGCCACATCTGCTCCACTTGGCTTCAGGGAGGACTACCAACTGATCTGATGACAGCAAGAGCCATTGGGTTTAGCATGCAGAGCCCTGTCCAGCAGAGAGTCTAAGCGCCAAAATGCAAATGCCTGTTGATCCTGGATCTAGTTCTATTGCCTGCATAAGCAAAATCTGATAGATACGAAAACCACAAGCATTGTAACCTCCAGATTAAAAGTGATATTGCTGCTGTATGAATGGTGCATCTGCAACAGGAGTGATGAGGTTGCTTCTTGTTTCAGCATCTCTGCAAAAGCCACATTTAGCAATGATTTCAGCCCTAGATGAGCAGTGCCCAGGGGGAAGTCTGATTCCTAGTGTGGGTAAACTCAAGCTGTTTCTATGTTTCATTATATTTATCTGCTAGCCCTGTTTCAAATCAGTTTCTGAAGAGAAAAATGTGTTCAGGAAGTTGGTAAAGGATTAAAAAGCCAGATAGTTAGCAAAAAAAAAGGAAATGACAGCATGCCACATTTTAGAAGAATAGAATACTCCAGATTAAATTCAGAAAAATACAACAGGGTTATTTCCTAACCTTATGAGAGTCTTATAAAAATAAAAAAAAAATAAAAAAAAATAAAGAAAACAAAACAAAAAAAAGCCCAACTTAGTTCAGTAACTAAGCATTGTCGTGTATGGTTGATGCAATTTTTCTGGTGCACACTTTCTTTCACGCTTTCTGACTTTGTGCAAAGTGAGGTTTAGGACATTCTAGAAGATAGCTCCAGGCTCTCCCTGGTTTACTGCTTCTCTTCTGAGGTCTAAAAAAAAAAAAAAAAAAAAAAAAAAAAGCAAATGGAAAAAAAACCCACAGGCAAGAAAACCCCTTTTTTCTCTTTTTGCATCAGCACAGCTTCTCTGTGGCAATGGCAGGCGGGAGCAGTAACAGCAGCCCTCAAGAAGCAGTAAACAGAAAAAAAGGTCACAGAAAGAACAAGATACTGTCTCACACCCATTAGTATTATGTGCACTTCCTCACAACATGACACTTCCTCTTGAACTAGTGCCTTGTCACAGAGGATGTCAGTGCAATGTAACAAAAAGTTCTTACAATAACAGTTCAAAACACTGTAGTTTCCTATATAGCAACACCACCTGAATGTCATATTCTGTAACTGGAAGATGTAAGATACTCCCAAAGGCTGCTCTCCTAGCATCAGGTAGTGGGATACAAGCGCATTTCTATTTCCCAACATCTGTGGAGCTCTTGCAGAAAACCATCTGCTTCAACATCTTTTCTTCTCCTCAGACAACTCGGTAAGCAATGGTCAGGAAAAAGAGTTAACAAAGGTTAAGAGCATTATGGGCTCATTGCTGTCAGACTTAGGTCTGTGGCAACATATGACTTCACTTCTAACTCCCCCTTAAGCCAAAAAAAACCAGTAATGTATCTTACAACTTCACCTGAACTGACACAGATCAAATATGCACAAGTAGTTTTTGGAAGCATTTATCATTATAATTCATCTAGACCTGTGACTTACCAGCACAATGCCCTTAAAATTAAATGCCACGGATTTGGACATGCAAGGCCAGAGTGGGATGGTAAAAGACCAGCTAATTGATATGCCTGCACTCGGGCAGGATCAGTATCCTTATACCACTACAGAAGGTGTTTGGCTAACCTGGTAAAGCAAACACTCCTTAGCAGAAAGCAGAATGAAGTTACAGATGTGTGTGGCAGCTCAGCAGTGACAGCACCAGAGCTGGCAGTCAAGTGAACTCCTTTTCACTAGTCCTTCTACCCCATGTTTGCTAGCTCTAGTGGTCACAGCATTACTTGATCTACATAAATAAACTCTGTTGGCATCTTCCTTCTTGCAGGTTTTACGGTGGATACTGCAAGAGATGTCTTTTGCTGCCTCACTAGGACCACTGCAAACGAACGGGGTACCTGAAAGAGGCTGGGGATTTTGAACTGTATTGTTTGAAAACCTGTAGTGTTTCATTTAATCAGTTCTCAGGGAGTCCATGTAAATCCGTGACTCCAAACAAGAAAAACTGAGCAAGCCAATACTAGGCTGATTTATGAAGCATAACTATGCCTCAAAATGACCCCTCACCACCCTTGTGAAATACCTCCCTTTCATCAAGTGTGTGGGTTTAGCAGGTTCTTTGTGGCTCACTGCTACAACTGCATAAATAAACTTTCCTAGGATTCTAAACAGTTCACTTAAGACCCTGTGACATGAGGCATTCTGAATTTCTGTTCAGGCTGGGTCTGAGTTTCAAAGCACAGCTCTAGAATCAGCCTCACCATCAGCCCAGCTCCAATACTCCTTTAATTTTAAGAGATACTAAGCTTAGCTTTTCTTGTTCCAATACAACAACAAGCAACAAATGTTGCTTGCACAACATTTACAGATTCAAAAGTGACGTGGGATAGGCAATGCAGGAAAAATAAATGCCATTTATACTTTAATGCATCTGACTGTCAACCTTTTAGGGAGGGCCTTCACAAAGCAGCCTACATGTAAACAACAGCTAGGGAA